GGGGGGGGGGGCGAGTTGGGAAGAGAAACACCGCAAGTGTAGAAGAGAACCTTAAAGTCCTCAACACCCCCCACCCACCCCATGACACGTCATAGCGGATGAGTCACGCAGAATGCAGAGAGTGCACATTCCGATGTTGCCTCGACTCAATGACCGACTGGCTGGAGCAGTTGCCTCCTTTCACTTGTTTACGTGTATGACTGCATGATTTGTGATGTTTTATCTACAGATTGATAAACTGATACATGTATAAGTTATTTTGTAGCATAGCGTGTAGATCGGGCCGAGGTTGACTATCTGAGGGTCAGGATCAGCAATCAATTTCTTTTTTTAAAAAAATTGAAATCGATTACAAATAAAATTGAATGATTGACGGCATTGAATAGATGTGGGTGTAGCTGCAAGTGGAGTGGCCGATAAAATTAGAATCCAGTCAGACTTACTCCACATGCGTTGGGTACAGTTGTTGAGAGGATGTCGTGTCGTGCCGAGAGCGAGCACAGATCTGATTTCACTCTATACTGAGGGTGATCATGGTCGTGCCGGCTCCGATGAGAAGTTAGTTGTGTAGCAGTGAAGTTATCGTTTTATGCAGTGCTACAGCATCTCATCTGACAGCTACAGGTAGGTGATGTCTATCTATCTATCTATCTATCTATCTATCTATCTATCTATCTATCTATCTATCTATCTATCTATCTATCTATCTATCTATCTATCTATCTATCTATCTATCTATCTATCTATCTATCTATCTATCTGTCTGTCTGTCTGTCTGTCTGTCTGTCTGTCTGTCTGTCTGTCTATCTGTCTAACTATCTATCCATATATCCATCTATCCATCTATCCATATATCCATATATCCGTCCGTCCGTCTGTCTGTCTGTCTGTCTGTCCGTCTGTCTGTCTATATATCTATCTGTCTGTCTGTCCATCAATATATCTGCCTGCCTGCCTGTCCATCAATATCTCTGCCTGCCTGCCTGTCTGTCTATCTATCCATATATCTATCTGTGTATCTCTCTGTCCCCCACTCTCTTCCTAACACTCTCTCCCCCCCCCTCGCTCTCTCTCTCTCTCTCTCTCTCTCTCTCTCTCTCTCTCTCTCTCTCACACACACAATCACAAATATTAACTCATTGGGTACCAATTACTTTATGTCAATGTAGCTATGTAGAATAACATATTACATAATTGTATATTATGCCAACTAAACGTATGAAACAAAACATATTATACGATAACTAGTAGTTGATTTTTGGTATCCACAATTTTAATATTTTAATACACACAATAAACTAACAGTAATTGTAATAGTGAATGTCACTGTCATCAAGTGTCACAGTAAATGTCATTGTCATCAAGTGTCACAGTAAATGTCACTGACATCAAGTGTCACAGTAAATGTCACTGTCATCAAGTGTCACAGTAAATGTCACTGTCATCAAGTGTCATAGTAAATGTCACTGTCATCAAGTGTCATAGTAAGTGTTACTGTCATCAAGTGTCACAGTAAATGTCACTGTCATCAAGTGTCACAGTAAATGTCACTATCATCAAGTGTCACAGTAAATGTCACTGTCATCAAGTGTCACAGTAAATGTCACTGTCATCAATTGTCACATTAAATGTCACTGTCATCAAGTGTCACATTAAATGTCACTGTCATCAAGTGTTACAGTAAATGTCACTGCCATCAAGTGTCACAGTCAATGTCACTGTCATCAAGTGTCACAGTCAATGTCACTGTCATCAAGTGTCACAGTCAATGTCACTGTCATCAAGTGTCACAGTAAATGTCACTGTCATCAAGTGTCACAGTAAATGTCACTGTCATCAAGTGTCAAATCATACGGTTCCGTTTCAATGGGTTTGCTGAATTCCTAGAATTTATTTCCAAAAATGGAAGACCGCCTTTGACATGAACTCCGAGACCACATTGTTTCTCCCCGTGCGTCGCCTCACGGCAGCTTTCAGGAGTCAGCGTGGGTGCAGATGGCGTCATCACGCTAAACATCCAATCATAATCACTGGCGAATCAAAGGGGATGCGGAGTGAGGGGGTGGGGGGCGGGGAAATCCACCCTAGGCGGCACTTTTGTCTTAATGTGGAGGGAAGGCATTTGGGGGTCACAGCAGATTATGTCTCCGTGGTGGGTGGCGGTAAAAATCTTGGCCCTCCCCTGACGCCACTTAGCCTAGCTACGCCACTGATAATAGTAGTAAGAGTTCCTTCATTCGTTTCATACTCATAGCATGTGGCGCAAACAGTCAGTCAGTTCAGGGAAGAAAATAAACGTCTATAGAAATAACAAAATGTAGATGTCGTTTTAACAAGTAGGGTGTCATAGCAACAGATCACTACCACATGCTGCCCTGGGGTTTGGTGTGGCAACTACCACACGCTGCCCTGGGGTTTGGTGTGGCAACTACCACACGCTGCCCTGGGGTTTGGTGTGGCAACTACCACACGCTGCCCTGGGGTTTGGTGTGGCAACTACCACACGCAGCCCTGGGGTTTGGTGTTGCATCTACCACAAGATGCCCTGGGTTTTAGTGTGGCAACTACCACAAGATGCCCAGATGTTTGGTGTGGCAACTACCACATCCTGCCCTGGGGTTTGGTGTGGCGTGTCAAGTGCTGGATCAAAATTGCGATATCAAAATCGTAATGGAAATACCATGGCGCGTCATCTCTAAAAATAGATCTCTACTGCCATTCACGACCTTATAAAAGTAGGTCAAATTATTTCAAGTTGCGGGTAAATGATTTGCAAAAACCGAAATCCCGTTAAAAGCCGGTTTTAAAAAACCGAAAATCGGTTTCTCAAAAAAATCCTGTTTTAACATCCCTAATGTCAAAATTCCCACCACAAACAACGCTCATGCATTAACTAAACATACCATTACAAAACATACCATTACAAAACATACCATTACTAAACATACCATTACTGAACATACCATTACAAAACATACCATTACAAAACATACCATTACTAAACATACCATTACAAAACATACCATTACTAAACATACCATTACAAAACATACCATTACAAAACATACCATTACTAAACATACCATTACTAAACATACCATTACTAAACATACCATTACTAAACATACAATTACTAAAAATACCATTACTAAACATACCATTACTGAACATACCATTACAAAACATACCATTACAAAACATACCATTACTAAACATACCATTACTAAACATACCATTACTAAACATACCATTACTAAACATACAATTACTAAAAATACCATTACTAAACATACCATAGCAAAAATAACAATTACTCAAAAGGCAATATATGTATTTTAAGAGCTATTAAATGCTGTGACCATGTATTAATTTTTAAAAATATTATTTACGTTGTGACCCTATGTTGTGACCATATGTTGTGACCATGTGTTTTGACCATATGTTGGGACTATGTGTTTATGTGTTGCTTATTGATGACTGGGCTAATGTGCCTCTTGATTGATTGAGCTGCGCAGCAGGAAATTAACTTCCCTTTATCTTGTAAGTAGGTTAGATCCTTTTCAAATGTCACAAGTCCAGCTTGCGTTGTAAGTGCATCAGGATCCAATGTCAAATGTCACAAGTCTAGCTTGCCTTGTAAGTACATCAGGATCCAATGTCAAATGTCACAAGTCTAGCTTGCGTTGTAAGTACATCAGGATCAAATGTCACAAGTCTAGCTTGCGTTGTAAGTACATCAGGATCCAATGTCAAATGTCACAAGTCTTGATTGTATTGTAAGTAAATTAGGATATGTGTCAAATGTCACAACTCTAGATTATGTTTTGATTTAGGATCCATGTCACAACTCTAGATTGTGTTGTAAGTAAGTTAGAGTCCATGTCAAATTCACAACCAGATGTTGTCACTGACAATTACACAAGGAGTTACAAAATTTAAATAAAATCTATAGTTTTCTGTGTATGAATTCGTTTGTATGGCTGTATCAGATACTTTCATTTATTGTTTTTGTTATTGTAGGGGCATTGGCCGTCCACAAGAATCTTCCATTCATCACGGCCCTGTGCTTTCCTTTCCAGTTGCTTCCAGGTGTATCCCATACTTTGCGTGTCTGCCTCCAGCTCGCGTCTCCATGTATTCTTTGGCCTTCCTCCTTTTCTTTGTCCCTGTCTTATAATTACTTTGGATAATATCTCATCACAAATGAAAAATGTACACAAAGATAAAACAGAAACATGTGAATATTATTTTTGTTTATTCTTTCAGAGCAATCTTCAGAACAATCATCAGAACAATCATCAGAACAATCATCAGAACAATCATCAAAACAATCATCAGCACAATCTTGTTGAATATAGAAACGCGGGCAGCCATTTCACATAAACATAAACACTGGTTTTAAAGACCGGTTGTTCATCTGTCTGGAGGCAGGCTAGAGCGACCGGCTAAATGGACGAACTTTGTCGAAACGTAAACAAATCTCATCAGCACAACAAGAACTTTAAAAAAAAAAAAATCCTCACTTCATCAACCTATTCCGGATCTTCATCAGGCTGAAAGTGGGTTGATATCCCAACATGAAGAGTCTCTCTCAAGCTGAGTGCTCTATCAGCCCAAATTTCATTGGTCCAGACAGCTGCACTGTTTGTCTAAACCAGAAGGACATTGGCTTAGAGAAATTATGCCAAACGTGTAGAAGCTCGCCTCTCATTGGCTGGGAAGGTTATACACGCTCACAATTCAGTGCATCGGAATGTAATTCTCCCGTAGAACACAGCGACCTCTTTCCAACCAGTGCCGGGCGTCTACAACGAGATGACAGGTCAGTGAGTCTCGTGACAACCAATAACCACCGCAGGATGTTGTTATCTGACCAAGCAAGCATGACCCCACGAGAGGTTGTTGAACACAACGAGGCAGCTGGGTTGGACGAATGGCTGATCTTCAAGGACAAGGTCTACAGCACGAGAAAGCTCCGAGAGATGTTGCTTTCTCTCCTTTCCCTGTCTGGAGACAGACTAGAGGCGGACAATCAATTGCCTGGAGGCAGGCTAGAGGCGGACGTACAAGAGAATAAAGAAATTGTTAACATGAATAAAAATTATTGCAACATAGGAGACGATTTTCACGATGAGCTGACAAGACTAGACTATTTGGACACCAAAAGTGTTCGTCTAGTTTTGAGTAAAATCATTTTGAATAGAAAAACAATCCTTGGGAGCCATCTGTCGTGTTGCCTGATTGGTTACATCACACAACCTCCAGATGCTCGTTACTGGGATGACGTCAGGCAAGATGTCTGTCTTGTGCTCAATGATCTCATCCGAGCAGACGCTGAGGATAAAATATCAGCTTACATGAGTGAATACATGCGTCTCTTACAGAGGTGGATGAGTAATTACAGACACGCAAATCCAAAACATTTGCAATGGATCGGACACGATATAAACAACAGCCCTTTCCCTTTACCGGAAGAGATCAACGGGGCCCGCCCACAGCTGCGTGATTGGTTGGATTGGTGGGTTCCTTTTGATACGGAAATACCCGCTGGCGGGGCGTGGCCCGTTTGTGACGTCAGTGAATTTGATCTCGGGGATCCGCACGAAATTTTTGTGTCATCTTTAAAGTCCTGTGTTGACCTGACCTGCCTCGATATGGACATCGATGGTGAGGTCGCGTGGGAGGTCATTCAAGAAGGTCTCTTTGCTGCTGACGTGTTGACACCAGAACAGGAAATGACGGAGCAGCAGAGGAGCCGAAGAACTGACCTTTGTGACCCCAGGAGGATGGCTGCCAGACGGGAGGAGCTCCTCCATTATTTCGTATGGAAGTATCAGTATGAATACGACAAATTCCGACCCTTTCTTGATTGGGCAGACGCAATGGCGGAAGGGGAGCGCAGATTTTTAAACATGTGTTGACCAGTTGACCGAGCATCTGAGGTTATATTCACGTCTATCACTATAGATAACAACTGATAACAACTGATAACAATAACCCTACTTATGCTTAGGCGTGTAGTTCATCCAGTGCACTTGGTGTGGAAGCGAAAGAACGGGTCAATAATACCTTGAAGAAAAAAAATCAGACGAATGAGTTAAAAAGAGGTGTGCATTATTTGTGTCATTAGCCGCCATGTTCCGCGTCATGTCTTGTGTTTAGATTTTTGGAAATGTGTCATTATTTTGACATCACTGATTGCAATCTCAAACCCAGACATACATTGTTTTATCATTTTGACCAATGTCCGACTGCAATCTCAAACCCAGGTGTAAATTGTTTAATTATTTTTACCAATGTCCGACTGCAATCTCAAACCCAGGTGTAAATTGTTTTATTATTTTGACATGGCTGATTGCAATCTCAAACCCAGATATGAGCACAAGGGGAAGATATTATATGATAGGATTGAAGAAGCAAAAGTATAAAATAAAATATTTCAATTATTTATAACTGATTGTTATTTTAAGTTGGAGTTAGGTGTGGAATACAAGAGAGGGGAGGGAGTTCGAGATATTGATAGAGGGAGGGATTAATTGATTAAGTGATTGATTTAATGCAATAGAGATGTGATAACGATCAGGAATAATGTTAAATATTTCCATTTTTTAATTAAAAACATTACAGGGACCAATGCGCAATACAAATGCTGGCTACTCGCTACTCACTACTCGCTAGTGGTTATATTGAAATGACTTTTTAGTAGCAGGAAATGAAATGATTTCTCAACGTGAAAGTGAAACAAGATGGCTGATTGTGCCCACTAGGGACCACGGGGGACCACCAGGGACCACTAGGGACCACCAGGGACCACCAGGGACCACCAGGGACTAGGGCTGAGCCGGGTGCAGTTTTTTTACACCTGGTCTGGGCCCGGGTATTTAAGACAATGCCAGTCTCATCAGCCAGTCAGTCTCATCAGGAAGTCAGTCTCATCAGGAAGTCAGTTTCATCAGCAAGTCAGTCTCATCAGCAAGTCAGTCTCATCAGCAAGGCAGTCTCCTCAGGAAGTCAGTCTCATCAGCAAGTCAGTCTCATCAGCAAGTCAGTCTCATCAGCAAGTCAGTTTCATCAGCAAGTCAGTCTCATCAGCAAGTCAGACTCATCAGCAAGTCAGTCTCATCAGCAAGTCAGTCTCATCAGCAAGTCAGTCTCATCAGCAAGTCAGTTTCATCAGCAAGTCAGCATGTCAAATAAAAGAGTAATTGTAAATAGAAAATGACATGGTCAAAAACAACGATATGCATCTGGCTAAGAAAAAAGAAATTACGTCACTAATTTCAGAGCCTTGCAGTCTCATTTAGCTTACATTTAGTTTCATTTAGCTTAGATTTAGTTTCATTTAGCAAACATTTTGTTTCATTTAACTTAGATTTAGTTTGATTTAGCTTACATTTAGTTTCGTTTAGCTTACATTTAGCTTACATTTAGTTTGATTTAGCTTACATTTAGTTTCGTTTAGCTTACATTTAGCTTACATTTAGTTTCATTTAGCTTACATTTAGTTTCATTTAGCTTACATTTAGTTTCATTTAGCTTCCATTTAGCTTAAATTTAGTTTCATTTAGATCACATTTAGATTCATTTAGCTTACATTTAGTTTCATTTAGCGTTCATTTAGTTTCATTTAGCTTACATTTAGTTTCATTTAGCGTTCATTTAGTTTCATTTAGCTTACATTTAGTTCCATTTAGCTTACATTTAGTTTCGCATCAATCTTTAGTCAGTTTGCTATTATTATTTATTTAATTCAAGTAAAATTAACCAAATATTATATTAGAAAAATATTTCCTAATAACATCCACTTTTCATGCTGTCCATATTGGGCTGAACATTTATAGAAAATGGGGTGGTAACTCTGAACATTTATAGAAAATGGGGTGGTAACTCTGAACATTTATAGAAAATGGGGTGGTAACTCTGAACATTTATAGAAAATGGGGTGGTAACTCTTGTTTACCACTGGACCCGGTTACTTTTTGGCCGGTCCCGGGTATGTGCCGGGTCGGTCTTTTCGGGTATCTCAATAAGTACCCGGCTCAGCCCAACCTGGAACTAATAGATCGGGAGAGTACAACAAAATTTATTATGTAATTCACTTGATCCTACTGCACTTAATCTCAAGTCCTCCAACAGCATTTCAGTTCTTGACCTTGATCTTAATTAATGCTCAATTCTTCCATTTTTTACATTAATTTATTTCTCAGGGTTAAACCTACATTGTTGCTTGTTTTCGGGGGCAGTACCTTGTTTACACTGCTTCCTTAGTCATTCCCATTACGCTGTGATTCAACTAATAAATATCAAGACACCACATTGCATGTGCTTCTGTGTTGATTCTTCCCTCCTCTTCCAAGCTATCATTTCAAGGGATGTTACTGTGTGAATAGGACAGTGAGATATTTCAGTGGTTATCTTGTCATTATTTTAATATTGAGAGTTAGATCAATGCTCCTCAAATTCGTGCGTCAGTGAACACGAGTCACCAGGTCAGTGTGAGATCAAAACTCGCTTGTTTGTGGGGCTGGTACAGCTACTTGTTTGTGGGGCTGGTACAGCTACTTGTTTGTGGGACTGGTACAACTACTTGTTTGTGGGGCTGGTACAGCTACTTGTTTGTGCGGCTGGTACAGTCACTTGTTTGTGGGGCTGGTACAGTCACTTGTTTGTGGGGCTGGTACAACTACTTGTTTGTGGGGGCTGGTACAGCTACTTGTTTGTGGGGCTGGTACAGTCACTTGTTTGTGCGGCTGGTACAATTACTTGTTTGTGGGGGCTGGTAAAATTACTTGTTTGTGCGGCTGGTAAAATTACTTGTTTTTGGGGGCTGGTACAACTACTTGTTTGTGGGAGATGGTAAAGTCACTTGTTTGTACGGCTGGTACAACTACTTGTTTGTGGGGGCTGGTAAAGTCACTTGTTTGTGCGGCTGGTACAACTACTTGTTTGTGGGGGCTGGTACAGTCACTTGTTTGTGCGGCTGGTAAAGCTACTTGTTTGTTCGGCTGGTACAGTCACTTGTTTGTTGGGCTGGTACAAGCACTTGTTTTGTGCGGCTGGTACAGTCACTTTTTTGTGGGGCTGGTAAAATTACTTGTTTGTGGGGCTGGTAAAATTACTTGTTTGTGGGGCTGGTACAGATACTTGTTTTGTGCGGCTGGTAAAATTACTTGTTTGTGGGGCTGGTACAGTCACTTGTTTGTGGGGCTGGTACAAGCACTTGTTTTTGGGGCTGGTACAGTCACTTGTTTGTGGGGCTGGCACAGTCCCTTGTTTGTGGGGCTGGTGCAATCTCTTGTTTGTGAGGCTGGTACAATTACTTGTTTGTGAGGGCTGGTACAGTCACTTGTTTGTGGGTCTGGTACAGTCACTTGTTTGTGGGGTTGGTACTGTCACTGTTACAGTGATTACAAACATGGGCTACGCTGGAATGTACGGATTGAAAAAAAAATATGATAATTTAAATTCCAATTTCACCAAATGATGGTTCCTTTTGAAAAATACTCTAGCATCTAGCATTTCTGTAATGCTGTAAATCATCTAGCAATGCTGTAATGCTGTACATCATCTAACAATGCTGTCATGCTGTACCTCATCTAACATTGATGTAATGCTGTACATCACATTACATCGCTGTAATGCTGTACATCATCTAACATTGCCGTAATCCTGTACATCATCTAGCATCGTTGTAATGCTGCACCTCATCTAACATTGCCGTAATGCTGTAAATCACATTACATTGCTGTAATGCTGTACATCATCTAACATTGCTGTAATGCTGTACATCATCTAGCATCGTTGTAATGCTGCACCTCATCTAACATTGCCGTAATGCTGTAAATCACATTACATCGCTGTAATGCTGTACATCATCTAGCATCGCTGTAATGCTGTACATCATCTAACATTGCTGTAATCCTGTACGTCATCTAACATTGCTGTAATGCTGTACATCATTTAACATTGCTGTAATGCTGTACATCATCTAACATTGCTGTAATGATGTACACCATCTAACATTGCTGTAATGCTGTAAATCATCTAACATTGCTGTAATGCTGTAGACCATCTAACATTGTTGTAATGCTGTAAATCATCTAACATTGCTGTAATTCTGTAGACCATCTAACATTGCTGTAATCCTGTACGTCATCTAACATTGCTGTAATGATGTACACCATCTAACATTGCTGTAATGCTGTAAATCATCTAACATTGCTGTAATGCTGTAGACCATCTAACATTGATGTAATGCTGATTTCATTTGGAACTGAAATTCTCTTCAATCATGGTTAGCACAGATTATTCTGTTGCTATACGTTATCAAGGAAATAACAACATCATTTACCAAGACGTCTAACTAATCCACCACCCCCACCCTTCTCCCCCAACCTTCTCCCCCACCCTTCTCCCCCAACCTTCTCCCTCACCCTTCTCCCCCACTTCTGTCTGAGTAATGGACGTTATTTTATAGAGGCGCCCAGTTAACCTTAATCGTCTGGGTCATGGAGGTCATTTTATAGAGACAACAACTAACCCAGGCTACGTACCTTTGTGGTGATACAGATTAAAGATGTTAGGATAGTTGGCTCGAAGACGAAGCATTACGTAACAAAAGGCTGATTAAAAAAAATTAACAAAAGACTAATCTAACAATAAGTTAACAAAAGGCTGATCTAACAGTGTGTTAACAAAAGTCTGATCGAATGGTATGTTAAGAAAAGACTGATCTAACAGTATGATAATAAAAGTTTTATCTAACAGTATATTAACAAAAGGCTGATTACAGTATGTTAACAAAAGACTGATATAACATTATGTTAACAGAATAAAGATCTAACAGTATGTTAACAAAATAAAGATCTAACAGTATGTTAACAAATCACAGATCTAACAGTATGTTAACAAAATAAAGATCTAACAGTATGTTAACAAAAAACAGATCTAACAGTATTTTAACAAAATAAAGATCTAACAGTATGTTAACAAAACACATATCTAACAGTATGTTAACAAAACACAGATCTAACAGTATGTTAACAAAACACTGATCTAACAGTATGTTAACAAAACACAGATCTAACAGTATGCAAAGAAAAGCGATACCAAAGCTAGTGATATTCTAATTTGATTTATTATATAAATAAATTTCTATCCAAATACAAAGATGAGTACAGAAAAAAAAGTGTATCAATTTATAGCAAAGGAAAAAGTGTACAACCTCTAAATAAAACTATTATTTTATACACATAATAATATAATCTATGTATCTATAAGTCTCGCTAAGTTTGTCTCTAGGTAAATGTATATCCGCTAAGAAGCCCTTCGGGCTCTATATATGAATTAAATCTGAGCGCTCTAGTACAGAAAATCTAGAGATTGCGTCACCTATCGGCAATCTTGAGAACAAATGAACGTATTCGAATGTAAACAAACTTTTCTCCAGCCAGGGTGGGGGCGGACAGGGAAAAGATGACAACAGCTTCACCCGGTGAAGTCAAAGTCAAAACAAGTGGTTGTGGATCACAATAACTTTGTGTTGCCCTATGCTGTACTATTTGATATAGAAAAATCCCCCAGTCTGAGTCATGGAAGTTATTTTATAGCACTAACAACACCCCCGCCCCCCTCCAAAAATTGTCTGAGTCATGGAAGTCATTTTATAGAGCCACCTAACTAACAACGCCCCCGCCCCCCAATTGTCTGAGTCATGGAAGTCATTTTATGAACGCTCCAAAGTTGTATCATTTAATTAGTAATTACCAAAAAAAAAAAAAAAAAAAAAAAAAAAAATTTTCAAAAAAAAAAAAAAAAAAAAAGAAAGATATTTCTGATAATAAAAACTTGCAGTGCAGTGGCGTAGCTAGGGTTAGTGTCACCAGGGACGGCCCAAACTGTTTACGGTCTCAGCCCCAGAAAACTACTCTGTAGTTGGCCGAAAATGCCGCCCCTCAATCTATAGAAAATAGTGGCACCAGTGGGCACTCCCACCGCCCCACCCTTCCTACGCTAGTGCTGTAGCGCTACTTGTTAAAAACTTACGCTGCCTTCATGATTATCACATGGCACTCTTACATGGTACTCTTACATGGTACTCTTACATGGTATTCTTACATGATATTCTTACAGCGCTTTAAATACTTGAACAACCTCCAACAGACATGAATTTTTTCTACCCCCCGCCCGTCCCCCATTTTCAGTTTTACTAAGCAAAACCGTTACGTCCATTCCCTGTTTGAGAACTGCTGATGACTAGGACAAGCAGACATCTTGAGTCACAGCCAGGTTCTAATCTAAATCACATTAGAAGCAAAAGAAGTCTTGTTAACGCAAGGGAACAAGACAAGTTACAACTGCTGAGGACAAATGTGAAACAAAAAAAGTCTTCAAGATCAAC